AAGTGTGCAGGTGAGGGAGTGAGCAAGTGTGCGGGTGAGGAAGCATGCAAGTGTGTGGGTGAGGGAGTGAGCAAGTGTGCAAGTGAGGAAGCGTGCAAATGTGCGAGTGAGGAAGCATGCAAGTGTGCGGGTGAGGGAGTGAGCAAGTGTGCGAGTGAGGGAGTGAGCAGGGGTGTGAATGAGGTGTGCGTGAGCAAGCGTGCGGGCGAGGAAGCGGACGAGCAGTGATGGGGTGCGTTGGGGGCGTCTGGGTGCTGGCGAGGGCTGGCGTTTCTCACCTCCCTGGCAGGGGCCAAGGCCAGAGCCTGGCGCTGGTGGGAGGAGGAGTGGCAGGCAGCAGGTGCCCCAGGTGGCTCAGATAGCCTGGAGAGGGAGGGAGGAGGTGAGAAGAGTTTGGGGCCTCGGGGGCCGGGATTCTCCTTCCCAGGCTGTTGGGTGCAAAACTGACCTTTGCTAGAATAATAAGCGCTCAGAGAGCTGGGGCCTATGTGTCCATCCCTGGAGCTGAATCCCTCCTACACTCTCCCCAGTCCCTGCTTGCATACCTTCGTTCATGGGCAGCTCATGATCTACTGAAGTAGCTCCCCACTCTGTTTCCGGAGTGCATTAAATAGCATGGATCAATCAGTCAGTTGACGAGTATTTGTTCAGCACCTTTGGTGTGTGGGGCCCTGTTCCCTGTCCTCGGGAAGCTGACATTCACTGGGAAGACAGCATGCTTACAGAGACGTCCGCACAAGCTACGGACAAGACAAAGAACAATTTCTGGAGGGGGGGAGAGGGATGTCACTGCTGGAGAAATCAGGCCAGGCTGCGGGGGGGAGTGGGCCCAGCAGCAGAGCCTGGTCCTGACGTGCAGAAGGGAACGGAGGGTGCATCCCAGGGTGGGGCACAGCCAGTGCAAAGGCATGCAGGCTGGAGACGGAGAGACACATACAGAATATGGTCCGGTTCGGCTGGATGTTGGCTGTGTGATCCAGGAGGGCGTTAGTCTGCCTGGCGGCCGTGACACGGTCAGGGTCATGGGACCGTGGCCAGAGGGGAAGGAGGCCCAGGGCCAGGGCTGGACATGGCCGGCCTCGAGGGAGACTGGGTGGAGGGCTGCCTTCTCCCTTGCCCCGGGGCAGCTCTGGTGGGTTTCACTGTGGAACATCTGAGGTGAGGTGGGAGTTGGGAGTCCTAGGTGTGAATCCCACCCCTAGTTGTATCATCCTGAAGAGATCCCTTTCCCCTCATCTGTAAAATGGGCACAAGGCCGCTGTGCGTCCAGCACTCTTCCTGCGTCTATCGTGAGGAGTGCGCACCAAATGCATGAGGGCAGCCTGGCACCTGCGGCTCATGGCCGCTTCGTCAGCGGACCTGGGAACGGGGGAGCGAGGTGGCCGAGCGGGAGGCGGTGCCCATGGCTGGCTTTGTCAAGCCTGCGGCCTCCACAGGAGTCCCCTCCTGGGTCAGTGGGCAGAGGGGGCTTTGGGTTGCAGTCAGGGATGCCCATGGGAGAATGCAGCTCTAACCCTGCCCCACCAGCTTCCTGGCCCCAGCGGCATGAGCCGTCCCATCTGGAGGGCCCAGTGTTGGGGACCCCTCTGTCCTGTCCCCGGAAACACCTTTCAGCCTGGCATTAGGGGATTTGAACAGATGGCATTGGGTACTCAGTTTGCAGAGAGGGAAACTGAGGCAGAGGCCCATGCAGGACCAAGCTTCTGGCTCCTGTTCCATGGGCCTCTGGGTGAGATCAGAGTTTGCCTCGCCTGGCCAGCAGGGCAGACATCGGTATCTGGGCAACCCTGATGTGAGGGCCTACCTTGGACGGCAAGCACAGGCCTGAGGGGAACGTTTGTCCTTGGGCAGAGGTGGGCAGCAGCCGACCCCAGGCCGTGGCCCCAGAGGCTGGGCTCCCCAGGTGGAAGCCACCGCAGGTGGGGTCTGAGCCAGGGAGGCACCTCCAGAGTAGGTCTGCAGCTGCATTTCCCGTGGTTCCCCCTGCCCCCGTGCGTCCTGGTGTGTGCTTGCTGTCCCACCTCAGCCTTTCCCTGGGCCGACCCTCTGGCCTGGAACACACTCCCCCTCTTCTCCACCTCTTAGAATCACGGCATCGTTCAAGGCTCAGCTTAGATGCCTGCTCTGATGGGAAGCCCCCTTTTCTGAAGTGGTTACTGCCCCCTCCCCACTCCTCCTCAGACCATGCCAGAGACCTTTCTCCTTCCAAAGAACAGGAGCTCTCTGAGGGCAGCCAGCACTGCCATGGCACCTTGCATGTGCGTGTGAGGGGGCGGGTCCTGGGTGCAGGTGTGGAGGGGATGTGTGCATATGTGTGTGTACGTGTGTGTATGCGTGGTGTCAGTGGGCTGTCAGACTCGCACCCCCAGCTCCAGGTACGGGCAGCCCCCCCATCTCCCACTGACAGCCGCCAGCTGTGGGCAGCTCACTCCGCGTTCACTCTGGCGGCCTCTCCTCACCGGCTGTTTGCTCCCTTGCTCAGCACCGGCAACTCCTGAAGGACAGCTTCATGGTGGAGCTGGTGGAGGGGGCACGCAAGCTGAGGCACGTCTTCCTCTTCACCGACCTCTTCCTGTGCGCCAAGCTCAAGAAGCAGGTGGCTGGGTGAGCCTCCAGGGCCCCAGGCTGTGCCCCTGGCCCGCCCCGACCCCCGGGCTCTGCCCCCGGCCCGCCCCGGACCCCCCGGACCCCCCGGGCTGTGCCCCTGGCCTACCTTGACCCTAGCTCAGCCCCCTGGGCCCTGCCCACAGCCCCATCAGTTCTGGCACATCAAGGTCTAGTTCTAGGCCCCAAGCTCCTACTGCCCCTCTCCCCAGCGCTGCCAGTGCCAAGAACCTTCCAGGCCACAGTGGGAGGGGGCCCAAGGTAGGGCCTCGTGCTATGGGTTCCCAGGGTCCAGGGTGGAACCCCTAGTCTGTACTCTTTACGTCTGGGGAAACTGAGGCCCCTGAGTTACAATACACGCTAGGCAGGGCTGGGCTTTCAGCCCATGATCTCCAGGCTCTGCCATGTCAGATGCCACCTTCAGGGCAGGCTGGGCCCTGGACCCTCAGCAGGGCAGCCCGTGCCCAGGGTCCACAGTGAACCTCCGTCTTGTTTCCCTTCTAGGAAAAACCAGCAGTATGACTGCAAATGGTACATCCCCCTCACGGACCTCAGCTTCCAGACCCTGGATGAGGCCGAGGCAGTGCCCACCATCCCCCTGGTGCCAGACGAGGAGCTGGATGCCATGAAGATGAAGATCTCCCAGATCAAGAGTGACATTCAGCGAGAAAAGGTCAGAGCCAGCCCAGAGAGGCTCGTGGGGGGCGGGGCACGGGTTTGCTGCAGAGTGTCAGACCCCAGCCCCCTTCACTTGGCATCTGCCAGAGGCCCCTGCCCTGAGAGATCCCTCCATAGCCCAGCTGGCGAGTGGCTGGCCAGCTTCTGGGGGAAGAGGGCAGGAGCAGGGGGCTTCTCTGAGGGGGCAGAGGGCCTCCCTGGGGAGGCAGGGGCAGGAGCGGGGGCTTCTCTGAGGGGGCAGGGGGCTTCCCTGGGGGGGCAGGGGCAGGGACCCTCCTTGGGGGTCAGAGGACTTCCCTGGGGGGGCAGGGGCAGGGGGCCTCCCGAGGTGCTATGATGGGACGGTGGCTGCTGTCCAACCACTGGGGGGTCTTTGAATGATTGCTGGGTAGCCCCTGCCTGGGCTGTAGCTTGGACCAGCGGGCTGCCTAAGGTCCCTTCAGTAGGGAGATTGTGTGATTCTGGGGTCCAGAACCTTCTCCTTGGGGGGCACTCCCTCCCACAGCGCCAGGGCCCTCCAGGGCCAAGCTGGACAGGCTGACCACCCCCCCCCGCATAACCTTGGTCCTCGGTCCTCACATCCCCCCCGAGCCCAGCTGAACCATCCCTTCTCCAGGCTCTGGACTCCAGACCCTCCTCTATCCTGGTAGTGCCCCTCAGGGCCCTCCCCGTCTTACACCGAGCCTGTCCTGTGAGTGGCCGGGCTGGCCAGGGCAAAGGATGGTGGGACTGCCCCTTCCCCGGCCCTAGGAGCTTAGCCCAAAATGGAGGGAGCTTTTTGGGTGGCCACGGCGAGCTTGCCCCTCCGCTGGCCTCCGTGGAAGACCGCAGTGACCCCCAGTCGGCGTCTTCAGACCCTGTGTGCCACCTGCCTCTCTCCTCCCCCCGGGCCGCCCCGACTGCCTCTCCCCCAGTGACTCCTGCTGAGGCGTCCTGACCTGCGCTCTTTTCCTTGGCAGAGGGCACACAAAGGCAGCAGGGCCATCGAGAGGCTCAGGAAGAAACTCTCGGAACAGGAGTCTCTGCTCCTGCTGATGTCCCCGAGCATGGCGTTCAGGGTCCACAACCGCCACGGCAAGGTAGGCGTACATGCAGGTAGCGGCCCGTGCCCGCCCTGCACGTGCTGTGTCGGAGGAGAGACCGAGAGGTGATGAATCTCAGGAAGTCTCAGGCAAGGAGGAAGCGCGAGGGGCGCGGGCGCGGTGCCGAGGGCCGCGAGGTGACGGGGCCACGTACCACTGCCACTGGGGAGTCAAAGATCGAGAAAGGAATGGTCCCTGCCCTCAAGGAGCTTCCTGTCCTATCAGAAGCCAGGGAAGGCCCATGGGAGGCAGCGCCCTAATGAGGTGGGCTCCTTAGGGAGACAGGGACATGGAGAGTCTGGGACACAGAGGCAGAGAGGCTGGGGTGCAGAGGGCAGCCTCCTTAGGGAGGCAGGGACACGTGGAGAGTCTGGGACGCGGAGGCAGCGCCCCAACGGGCAGGCTCCTTAGGGAGGCTGGGATGCGGAGGCCTCTTCCTGCTCTCTGCTCCCCCTCCCCGCCCTTGCCTGACCCAGCCCCTTCCAGGAGCCTCCTTCACCTTAGAGGATATACTCAAAGTTATGGGGCAGGAAGGGGCACCACAGGGTACAGAGCGCTGGGCCTGGAGGCAGGAAGACCTGAGTTCAAATCCAGCCTCAGGCCATAGGTCCTATGCTGAGTGCTGAGGACACAAAGAGAGGCACAAGCCAGTCCTGCCCTCCAGGAGCTCCTTAATGGGCTAATGGGGGAGACAACGTGCAGATAAACTGATCCCAAGCTGAATGGGCCCTGGGGCTAGGATGGGCTGAGGAGGCTTCCTGGAGGAGGTGAGAGTGGAGCTGGGACTTGGAGGAAGCCAGGGAGGTCAGTAGGGGGAGCAGAGGCGGGAGAGTGTTCCAGGTGCAAGGTACAGCCTGAGAGTTTGCCTCAGTTTGCTCGCCTGTAAAATGAGGCTAACAATAGAAGCTCCCTGTCAGGGCAGCGGTGAGGACCCAGTGAGGCGCAGTCTGTAAAGGGCTCTGCAGACACGGGCTCTTGGCGGCCTGGCCGAGCCCAAGGTGAGGGGGGCGGGGCCTGTCTTCTGTTCTAGAGCTACACGTTCCTCATCTCCTCTGACTATGAGCGCGCAGAATGGAGGGAGAACGTCCGTGAGCAGCAGAAGAAATGTAAGTGGCCTGGCTGTGCCCCGACCCCAGGGCCTCGAATTCGCCTCCTACCGTGGAGTAGCCGCCAGCCTCCCTTCCCAAAAGGCCCAATCAAGTCCTCACGGCTGGGCCCTACCCCGCCATGGGTCATTTTTCAGCACCTTGGGCTTCCTGGCCCCCCCAATCCCAAACCCCTTCAGGGGGTGTCGGGTGGAGCCCTCCGGCCCCCTTGATCCCGATTCACATCTTCTCTGTCCTGGCCTTGGGAGGTCCTGCCGCTGTGATACAACCACTCCTCTGTGCCTAATCCCACCCCCTGCTGCTGCCTTCAGGCCTCTGTAGACCTCCTCCTTCCCTCATCTGTTGTCTCTGTCTCCATTTCTGTTTGTCTCTCGATGTCTCTGTCTCTTTCTCTTTCCTGTATCTGGTTCCTTCACTGCCTGCCTGGAGAAACCCTTAGTCAGGGCAGCAGAAGCATAGAGTGGGAAGTGTGACCCCCTTTCTGTTCTTGCAAGGGGCTCCTGGATGGCTCACCTAAGAAGTGGGCGTCCGTCTCTGAAGCCTCCTGCTCCACCTTGGCACTGCTTCACCTGCTGGCAAGCTTGTGCTAACATCCAGCCTGACTCTGCCCCTGTAGTTTCTGTCCAGGGTTTCCTGTTCTGGGAGGGGTGCTTGACCCATCCATCCACACATCTGTCTGTCCATCCATCCGTCTATCCATTCATTCATCTACCCATCCATCCATCCATCCATCCATCCATCCATCCATCCATCCATCCATCTATCCATCTATCTTATCCATCCATCCATCCATTCATCTAACTGTCCCATCCATCTATCCGTCCCATCCATCTATCCATCCATCCATCCATTTATCTATCCATCTATTCATCCATCCATCCACACATCTGTCTGTCCATCCATCCACCTATCCGCCCATTCATCTACCCATCCATCCATCCATCCATCCATCAATCCATCCATTCATCTATCTGTCCCATCCATCTAACCATCCATCCATCCATCCATTTATCTATCCATCTATCTATCCATCCCTCCACACATCTGTCTCTCCATCCATCCATCTATCCATCCATTTATCC